CCAGCTACTCCCCTGCCCCTGCCCCTTGCACGCAGAAGCCACAGACGGCACCAGCCGCCTTCAGATTTTCAGACTCGCTGCACCTCCCAGACACACCTGTGGGATCAAACGTCCCTTCCTAGCCCCGAGCCTCTGGGCGCTGCTGGAGTCCCTGCCCTGCCTCCGGAATTAGCGAGCGCCCCGGGGAAGCAATGCGACCGCTGAGAGGTTGTAAGAAGTCGCTTCATATTTTGGGTCAGTTAATAAACTCCCGGCCCGCAATCATTGATTTTCTAACCCTCCCCTGCGCCCGCTCGCAGCCGGCTCTGCCGGGGTGCGTGTGCAGGAAGACACAGCGCGTGGAGATCTTTATAAAACGCTCTCCGCCGCCCGCGGCTCGTTGGGGCTTTACAAAAGGGCGTCTGTCTGTCTGTCTTTCTGTTCCAGGCGCTGCCCGCAGAGACAGGCGCGCGGTGAGTGCAGCGGTTTCTGCTTGGTACTTTCCGACTTTGCACCCAGTTCCAGAGAAGTGGTTTGTAAGGGAGAGCTCAGGCCTGGGAACCCCCGCACACAGCGGGAGCAGAGGGGGTGTCAGGCGCTCTGGGTGCTCGTGGCAACGGCGCGTAGCTGGGCGGTGGGGCACAGGAGAGCCCCAAGATGGACTCTCAGGGTGATGAGACCGGTGCGGGCTGAGCACACCACAAGGCCGGCACGACGTGTGCCAGAGCAAACGGCACCGTTCCTCTTCCTTCTCGCGCCACTGCCCCGTCTTTCCCAGGAGAGAGATGCTGCAGATAGGGACTCCAGGTCAGACCTCCCTGGCTGGCCCCCTTGGGATCTGAGTGGTCCTGATCAAGGGAGTTGGCTGGACCGGGGAGGTCAGGCGTGTGGGTTCTTCCAGAGCTCCCCTCCTGGCTGCCAGCCCCAGCCAGAGCTTTGCCACTGGCCTGCCTGCCAGGCTCTGCTTCCCCTGGCACACAGGTGGGGCTGGCTGCTCCTGGCCACCGGCCCACGGGCTGCCAGACCAACTCTGCTCTGAGCCACGGGCAACTGCTGCAGCTCTCTGCTCCAAGGACTCTCCTGTCCATCAACATGGGGCCATTTCTACGCTCGTGGCTTCTTGCGCGAGAAATATGCAAACGCGGCTAAGCGTGGAATATCGCCGAGCCTCATTTGCATACCTAATGAGCCGCCATTTTTGCAGAAGAGGCTCTTGCACCAGAAGGAGCATCTACACGGCCCCTTCTTGCGCAGGAAAACCCCTCTTGCGCAAAGCTGTTCTTCCTGAAAATAATCAGTGTAACGGCATTGCACAAGAGCGTTTCTCTTGCACAAGAAGGGGCGGTGAAGACACTCCTTCTAGCGCAAGAGCCAATTCTGCAAAAATGGCGGCTCATTAGGTATGCAAATGAGGCTCAGCGATATTCCACCCTTAGCCGCGTTTGCATACTTCTCATGCAAGAAGCCGCGAGTGTAGACATAGCCCCAGGGTTCTCCCAGAGCCTGTGGTTACTTCCCCCTGGGAGAGTCCAACATGACCAACGCCAGGCCAAGGGTACCCTGGGACGAGAATCTGTATTGACTCTCTGTCCCCGTGGAGACACTTCTGAACTCTTACTCCAAGCGTCTGGCCTGTGGGGAGTTCTGCGAGCGCGGCCGTAACCTGTCCCAGTCAACGGGAGCTGTGTGACGCCAGCTGGTTTCTAAATGTCTCAGGAAGGGGGGCATTGACCCCCATCCACAGGGACCCCCCCCCATTCCACCAGTGCCCTGGAGGCTGGCTGGGTTTTAGAGTGTGAGATCAATTCGCTTCCGACCTGACTGGCCCAGCCTGTCTGGGAAACTTGCATTCCTTCTTGCCCCGTGGGTGCTGGCAGCTTTGATGCTCCTTCTTATGTCCCGTCCGCTGGCCGCGGAAGGATCTCTCCGGGAAGAGGCAATGCCGGGCCTGCTGTTTGAACTCCTCCTCTCAGTGGAAAGACTGGAGTTAGCAAGACAATTTCTTATCAGCCCCGTGGAGGAAGAGGGAGGGGGGAGGAGTTGTAACGGGTCTTGCTACTCCTTTTGCAGATCGATTGCAAGGACTACATGGACGATGGCATGTACTGCACCAGGGAGTCCGACCCCCACTGTGGCACGGATGGCATGACATACGGCAACAAATGCGCCTTCTGCAAGGCCGTCAAGTGAGTGGAAGCACCAGGAACCCAAACGAGTCGAGTGGATCTGGCTCCCCGCTTCCCCCCCCCCTTCCTTCTCTCCGTTTCGTGGGTTTCTATGCGCCCGCCTGGCGCTCGGGCGCAGCGAGAGGTTCTCAGTGAAGCACCTCCCCCCAGAGCAGACCCACGTGAAACCAAAGTCACTGGAAGCCGCTTCATAGAATCCCAGGGCTGGAAGAGAGCTCCGGAGGCATCGTGGTGCCCAAGGCAGGGCCAGTCTCAGCGAAATCAGCCCAGCCAGGGCTTGGTCAAGTCGGGATTTAAACACCTCTAGGGATGGAGATTCCAGCCTCCCCCTAGGGAACCCAGCCCAGCGCTTCCCCCCTCCTAGGCAAATAGTTTTTCCTAATAGCCAACTGCAACCTGAGCCCATTCCTTTCTGCTCTCTGAATGAAATCGGCTCATGCAGGGAGCTGGCCCATGGCCTGTGCCCCCAGGTCAGTCCCTCCTGGGTGAAGAGAATTACCTCAGTGCCCGGCCTATCCTACAGCACCGCTGCAAGGGGGCAGGGGATTGCAGTGGCAAGAACATGCAGGGAGGTGTCCCAGGGCTCTGGAACCCCCTGCCCCACGGAGAAATGTTAATTAAATGTTAAAACGGGCTGTCTGTGGAGCAGAGTCGCTAGCTCCGCTGCCGCCCAGGAAAGCCAGAGCCCCCTCCCCTCCAGACAGCCCTGCCTACGACAAGACGTTAAAAGGGGGGCTTGAGCCTTCCTCGGACACACCAGGGACTGGCTGGTGTCTGAGCTGGGCCGTTCCAAGGTGCCAGTTCTCCTCCCGTGTGTACCTGTCCCCGGGGCACTGAATGAAACAGTCCGTCTCCGCCAGAGCCTGAGCCTGCTTTGCTCTCTTTGCAGGAAAAGTCAGGGAAGCATTGGACTGCGGCACATTGGGAAATGCTGAACGCCCCTCCCGGCTGAGTGTTGGGAGCTGCCCGCCTGCTTTCGGTTTCCGCCAGCCGCCGCAGGCCCCTGCCTCCAGCCACAGCCGCCCCTCGCCCTGCCCCCGGGAGCTGCGGGCGGCAGCGGCGTCTCCACTGCGCTTGTCCAATAAAGAAACTCAGCACACTCCTTGGGCTGTTTCTGGTCCCCATCACTAGCAGGGCTGCGGTGGGACCAGGCCTGCGCGTGCCGCGTGTAACGCCAGTGAGGGGCACCAGGGGGCGCCGTCTGTGGGCGATCACTCCATCACCTTCCCTTTCCAGAGAGGAAAGAGGGAGCAGGAGCCACGCCGTGGCCCAGTCAGTCCCACCGAGTGTGTCCGAGGGAATGGCCTGCCCAGGCCCCGCGTGGGCTGGGGTGAAGAGTTCCCACCTTTGCCACGTAGGCCCTGCGGGATCTCGGACTTCTCAGGGGCTTCCCTACCTACAGGGTCGGGCTCGCTCCGGCCCCGGTCCTAGTCCACGTGAAGTCGAGCAGAGGCCAGAGACAAGGGCGTGTCTCAGTGGTGGGTTCAAGCTCCTCCCATCTAGGGAACCATGGCCAATGGGAGTTGAGGGGGCGGTGCCTGCAGGTGCACACAGTGCTCAGAGCCACATGGTCCTGCTTTGACCTAAGAGCCACCAGGAGATGCTGGCAGCTTCCTTAGAGCCCGCGCTCCATACCCCCTCCATGCCCCAACCCCCAGCCCGCCCCAGAGCCCACACACCCAGCCAGAGCCCTCAGCTCCTCCACAGAGGGCCAGTGTAGACAACGCGGTATTGTTTTGCGCCAAAAAGCCCCGATGGCGAAATGGCGAAAATGGCGATCGTGGAACAACACCTCCACAGATGCACAACACCTCCACCAATCCATCCTCGTGGAACGAGGTGTACCGGTAGTTCGGAATAGGAATCCTAGTTCGAACTACCTAGTTCGAGCCCCGTGTAGCCGCGCTGCACGGGGTTCGAACCAGCGGGGTTTTAAAAATGGCGGCTCCCCGCTTATGCAAATGAAGCCCGGGAAATTCAAATCCCGGGCTTCATTTGCAAGTGCGGTATGCCTACATTACCCCGCTAGTTCGAACTAGCGGGGTAGTGTAGACATACCCTGATTTATTTGTTCTATATTTAGAGGCAATACTTGGGACAAAGAATCTTTCTTGGAACCAGACATATGGCTGTAAGCCGGAATTTCTGGTAGAGGGGATTGCCTGCATGCTGTTTGCAACCACCTCTGTTCCAGGCCTGGTGTAAATAAAGCAGGTTACACTGAGGCTATGTCTACACTGGCATGATCTTGTGCAAAAACTCTTCAGAGTAAAACAGACTCTGAGAAACTGAACTGCATGGCCCAGGAATTCTGCAGTCATTCAGAAGAGAGGCAGTGTTGTTGTCAGAAGATGCAGCTATATCAAACATTTACACTTAGTGGAAGGCAGAGGTACTGGCTCTTGTCAATCATGTTGGGGCAGTTTGACAATTCCCACAAGTTGAGCATGAGTCTCCGTTTATTTCATTTAGAGCATTTCTAACTGGTGTACTTCGGCAAATTCTAAACAGTTTTCATTTTTCACCATTTTTTTCAAGCTTGGAAATTCATCTCCACTGACCCTTTCCCCTGAACAACTTTGGTTTTGATAAATTGGCATTTTCTAATGAAAAAAACATGTCATAAAAAAATTCCCAACCCAGCCCTAAATGTCATCCACACTGGCCTTGGCAGGTTTGCTGACCCAAATCCTAATGACAATCTTCCACGTCATTGTAACTGATTGCGAAGGCATCTTCCCATGGGCACAGGGGATATATTCTGAGATTAACCCCCCTCTTTGGCGTTGAGTTATTTTTTATAAACATCAGGCCTGCTTCCCTGTCATCAGACAGCGTCCTAGCAAAGACTGAAGGAGCAGCTCATCTCGTCTGAACGGGAATCATGATATTTCGAAGGATACCGGCAACACGAATTTTCACCTGGCTTCCAAGGCTCAGTGACGTGCACTGTACTCAGTAACTTCTCCTACTTCTTTCTTTACACAACTTTCTCTCTCGTTTTCCCTTTCCCTTTCCTCATTCTGATCATCTGAGGATACTGAACTAGAGCAGCGGTTTCCAACCTTTTTTCATTTGTAGACCTCTAAAATATTTTGAATGGCGATGTGGCCCCATTTGGAACCCATGGACTGCTGGTTGAAAATCTCCAATCTGCATTCTTTGTAGACTCAAGAGATGCTTGATTTCGTCTGTGTCTAGGGACATACTTTTGCCCGCTTGGCCCAAGTGGCTAACCAATATTTGGGGCCTTGTCAAGTTGTTTCTCTTTAGGAGGAGAAATCGATTATACTAGTCAGGTAGTTATTTGGTGTGATCGTTGATTTAAATGTGCAGCGTCCTGTTTCACTCAGTAGGAACAAATTTCCTTTGCTCACAGTTTCCAAGCTTGCCACATATGCTCTCTTCGCCCACTTAGAACCACTCGCACTAACTGCTTCTCTCCCTCTGGCTGCTGGTTTTCTGTCTCACAGATGCACAACACCTCCACCAATCCATCCTCTCACCTCTGCATGTGCAACCAGTCCCAGAGACGCTCCTCAACCCACTGATCAGGCCATATGGCCGAGTGCCTTGGACAGTGGCTTCCTATTATTTCTGGTGATCACAGGGGCTTAATTGCTCCTTCCATGGACCCTGAAAGAAAAGTAGCTAGTGCACCCACTGGTTCTAACGAGCTCTGCAATTGATGGCAGCCATTAACATCCTCCAGCATCAGGATAGCCCCACCTTAGCTCTGCTCACCCACCCAGAAGTGCTCTAAAAGAAAGAAATGATAAAGGATACCACGCTTGCTGTTTACGTATATTCCCATGTGTTCTTCTGCCTGGTCTTTTCCCATCACCAAGCCAGCTCCACATTGCTTCCATCCAAAACTCTTTGGAGCTTTTCTTCCCCCTCCCCTCCAACAGCTTCCATGCAGCTAAGGAGAAGGGGCCACGTTCCGTGGGTGCTCAGGCGGGCCCGTGGCTTCTGTGAAGTTGCTTATCGGGACGGACTTTGCTCCGTCTGTTCTAATGGGGAATTCATCGCTGCCACCACTCTTCCCGCCTCCACTGACGCGACCCACGGGTCTTGTCCAGCTCCGTCTCCTCCGGTCCTGTGGCAAAGGGGGACAGAATCAGGTGGAGGAGGGGTGGGAGGTGGGGACAGTGCGTGACCCTCCTGGAGAGGCAAAGGGACTCCCCATCCTATGGCACTGCAGACAGGGCTCCGGAGAGCCGCAGAGAGACAGCTCCGATGTTCAGCCACTGTCGCTGCCAGAGGTAACGGGCCGTGGCCAGGAAAAGAGTCTACCAGGAGCCTCCTCATGGGCTGCCGCTCCTTTGCCTGCCATATGATCTGAGGCCCAGTCGGAACGAAGCCGCTGCCAGAAGGCGCGTGAGTCAGTGGAGACTCCGGCACGCTGCCGTCAGAAGCCAAGGTGCAGCTGTGGTTGCCACAGGGAGGGAAGGAGAAACTGTAACCAAGCCAGCCTGAGAAGCAGCAAGCACCACGCCCCAGCAACCACCACAGGCCCCAGTGTCCTAGCCTGTGATGGGAAATTCTGGCAGGAGATTTTATCGAAACCAGGTGCCTTTTAACCATTCACATTTGCCTAATTACCACTGCTGGGGAGCCAAGAATCCCCATAAAACTGCTGATGTGTTCTCCAATGGGAGGGACATCACTTCCGCTTTCTAAAGACTTCACCAGAGCGCAGCCAGCCAGGAAAGGAGTCCTGGCCGAACGGGCACGGCACCAAACGGCTAACGAGCGGCCTAACCACGAGCAGGGAGCATGTGCAGGGCATGCCCACAGGTGCCTTGGGACATCTCAGCCAGGGCACGGCGCCGGCTCCGATTTTGGTAGGGAGGGAGCAACTCTCTCCATGATCCCAGGGCTACGTCGGCACTTGAAAACACTAGCTTTTGGGCAGCCACTTCAGCAGACAGAAGCCCAGTATCTAGCTCCTATATATACACAGAGCCGCACGTCCCCAGTACTCCTGTTCCGGTAGCTTGTGGCAAGTCACGCTAGGGATGCTCTTGCGGTTACAATCTGAACTGCCCACGAAAGGTCCCGATCCCATCGACATGGTTCGTTAGTCATCAAGGTGCTGCAGGACTAGTCGTTGTTTTGTACGTTTTTCCGGTTACTGACGCGCTTGGCTCCCCCTCGGAAGCTTTTATTCTCCTCTTCTGTTATTAACTGTGGAGGGAGAGACCCCGTCAGGGCTGCTGGGTTTTGCCTCAGCTCTGGGGGCTGGTGGGTTACAGCAGGGCAGATACACCTGGGTTCTAGAGAAGCACATCGCAATGGCCACACCGGCCCAGACTCGTGTCCTCCAACACTGGCCAATGCCGGTGCTTCGGAACAAGCAGGCACTGCGCGATTCCTCCAGCGCTGTCCCTCAGGCCCCGAAACAACGACCCCACACACCCAGGTCCTGCCCCAACTCTTCCCACCCCACTCCACCCTGTCTCCAAGGCCTGGCCCTGCTCCACGCCCACCCTGGCTCTGCCCCGCCCCTTCCCGTCACACCCTCCCCTGAGTGGGGTTACCCCAGGATTCCTGGGGGGCCTGTTGCTGGCAGCAGGGGTTGCTCCCCATACTTGCCATGGCTGCAGGAAGCAGTGTCCCAAGCCCGGCTTCCTGCAGCCGCAGTCAAGTGGAGCATGCTGGCTGGGAGATGGTGGAGCGGAGCGGGCTGGGGCCGGGGTGCTCTGCTTCCCACGGCTCCCCCCACCACTGGTGAGTGTAGGGGCAGGC